ATGACTGTTCCAGAGTGGGGAATGGAGACCGGCTAAGGACTTGAACACGTATCTGATCATATTCAACATTCAATCCTGCCAAGAAATCATAAACTCTGATCTTGTCCACATGGTTCTTGTAGGCAGCAATGTCTGTAGCATTAGTTGGTTGATAATCGGTATAATGATCTAGCTCTTGCCATAAACTCCGAAACTCAGCATAATATTGAGATATAGTCATCTCCTTCTGAGAAGTGTCATGAACCCTTTTTTGAAGTTCATACATCTATGCATCATTCCCGATTTGACCATAAGTATCCCTAGCAGCTGACCAAATTTGCGCCGCAGTATCAAGAAGCAAATATCCTTTTGCAATATGTGGCTGCATCGAGTTAAGCAAAAAAGACATTACCAAAGAGTAATTCGAGATCCACTTGTCTTGAGTAGCACCAGATGTTTCCGGCTTCACAGAAGTGCCGTTGATATGACCTGTAAGCCCACGGCCTGCAATGGTCAAGAATACAGATCGAGACCATATCAAATAATTTGTGCCGTCGAGCTTCATAGAGATTGTAGCGAAAGTAATATAATCTGTACGGCCATCTCCTGTAGGTGGAGGGTTCTCAACTGAACCGTCAGACATTGTGTCACTGGTAGTAGGCTAAAAAATATCCTCCAAAAAATCAGCAAGATCAGATCAAGGGAAGAAAAAAAATCGATTTTTTCAAGATTTTGAAAACTTGAAAAAAATCGATAATTCTAATTTATCCCAAAAATCTGAAAAAAAATATGGTGGTCCACGAACTGCAGTGCTTTGGTCTTCACACACGAGAGAATTGTAGGCTGGCGGCAAGGCAGAAACAATTCCAGACAAGAAGATCAAAAAAATCGCAGAAGAAGTTAAACCACCTATCGCGGATTGCAAAGAAGTTTTAGTTATGTCATAGAGGTGAAGTTTAGGGCAGACACCAGATTCAAAGAATCACCTCATTAGTACTGCCCTACACAGGAGAAGATGAGAAGGAACTGCGGTGGGAGAGAGTGAAGGCGTGAAGAGAGGAAAAAGAAAGGTTACGCAGAGGAGAGATTAGGGTTAGGGTTTCAGTTCAGATCTGGCTCTGATACCATGTTGAGAGGAAAAACTGAACTAAATGCTTGGTTAGGTCTATGTGACCCCAAGCTATCTATTTATAATAAAGCCAAAAAGGCCAAAATTACAATATTACCCTTATTGCTGCAATATATAAAATAATAAAGGAAATAGACAAATATGTCCCTATTAGCCAAGTACTCTCAACAGATGGTAAGGACGTTCCATGAGTATTCTGATCAGAAGTTGAGTTCAAACTCTATTCATAAATCATATTGCGACTCTTGTAAAGATATTATCATTGATCTCTAGCGACCGCATACTTTTGGGATGAACAACGATAAAGCGATTTCAATAGAAAAGAATCCTAAGAGTGAGGTATGACAATTTCTGATATGATATGAGTTGAATGACAGGATTTTACAACTAGAAAATGTAACAGTAAAATTAAAGATGACCGGGCATAAACTCGGGAGATCATATGTGCATTCTCTTGCCTGTTTCATTGCTTCATCAAAACAAATGAAACAAGGTTCACTTCTGGCGAAGAGAAGGTATGAATACCTGTGTACTAACGGAACAAAAAGAGACTATTTGGGACATACTGCACATTAAGCAGTAGCTACCTGCAAATTGTTGCCTTAATGCATTCATATGCAAACAGGGGAACTCTTATCCTTGTGCGTTCTCAAGATATATTGACCCAAAGCTATACATCAATGTCATCCTCCTCGTATACAGTACACAGCTCACAAACAAACCCACGAGGCCCCGAAGGATTGAGCCGCCCCTCCGCATGTCGCTTGCAGTATGGCTTGTTGCAGAAATCACACTTGGGTAGTTGGAGCCAGCAACTCATGCATAAGATGTCCGCGCAAATAGCCTCGGCTTCCTCTAGATCGTCGAGTTCGACGCATGCGCCACACTCGATGCACCTCGGAATGCAAGAGCCGCATCCTCTGCATTCACCTAATCGCCTGTCTCTCTTCCTCACACATGTTTCTATAGGGCAGATAAGGACCTTCCTCACCTTGTTGCACTTTGGACAGATTTCCACGTCGATAGGACAAACATTGCAGTCGCCCTCGCGTCTGAAGTGTGTGGAACATCTGTGCTCCAGCGTTTCGGGATTCACTTGAACGTAGGATTGAAGCACTTGGAGATGTTGCTTCTGCAGATTGTAGAGGCCATTGATCTTTATGGACTGTAAAATGTTCCCATTTGCTGATAGAGTCTTCACTGCGTTTATGACTCCCTCTGGTGTTAAGCCAGTACATCCTGGTACATATAACTGCATAGACAACAATTTCAAGTTATTAAAGTTAAGTTTCTGCAAATCAAATTACTTCTTTTTTCAAGAACAAATGATTATTGTCTACACTCATTTCTCTAGAGTCAGCTAATCACACGTCATGAAGCCATCGAAATTAAACTGAACCCCACAAGAAACCCTATATGTTTCCAAATATTTTCCATACACTATGATTGATTTTGCCTGCCACGACCTTCTCTCTCTGGTTCGACGGAGTTGTTCACTCCATGACCACAAGTTTATGAAGAAAACAAGATTAAGGGTACGGTCAGTTGTAGGACATGTTACAGAACAAGGAAGTATCCAACAATTCACAGTGTGAAGCCTTAGTGATTTGCATCTTACCTTGGTGATCAGAGGATTCTTCTCTGTAACACTCTGAAGTCCACCGTCTGTGATTTTTGTGCAATTGAACAGCCCCACTGTCCGGAGCTTCCCATTCGCCTTTGAAGCGATCTCGATAAGGTTCTCGTCATGCAACCGCCGACTCAAAGGATCGTCGACGACGAGTTCGAGCCACGGCAGAACATCGTCGCGCGCCGCATCTCTCAGAGACGTGCACGCTTCGCCCACGGCAATCAGCCCAGATAAGCTAAGATAAGGCAAGACCAGAAACAGGGCCTCATGGGGTTGGCCTGGTTCTGTCGGCTCACCTATGGTTTCGTCCTCGGGAGGCGCACGATCAACATCAAATGATAGTTTCGGCATTTCTTGGTTCTACCAGTCTTCTGACGGAGCATGCATCTTTGGATTTGCTGGTTTATGATTGAGAACAGAAGAAGAGACTGATGCTTCGAGGGGAGGGATATGAACAAGAGCCTGTGAGGGACATTTGGACTCGAAACGGAAACGTGGATAGATAATTTTTGTCTGGACTATGTGAAATGCGTGGGTATCTTGATGCAGAATCTATTAGTGAAGCGTTTCTGGACCGGTTGGACTTCTGAATCTATTAGTGAAGCGTCTCTGGACCGGTTGGACAGGCAGAAGTCCAAATGGAAGGCGAAACGGTGATGCGACTAGAACCGGCGGACCCGGTTGACGACATCGGATTGGGCTTAAATTCGGTTGTTTTAAGCGAAACGGCGTTCTGAACAAAACTCATAGCTTTTAGCTATGACTAACGATGGATTTTAGCGATTCAGGATCGTTTACATAGGTTTTTCTATTTTTTAATAATTTTTTATGGGTTTTAGTTTTAAGGGCAGTTTCGTAATTTTGATGTTTTATGTTTTCTAATCCTAGTATGGTTTGATTTAGGGATATATAAGCTTGTTTTAGAGTTCTTTTTGAAGAACAGAACATTATCATTAATATTGAATTTCGAGATTTCTTTCTCTAAGCAAGGTTTTGCTTGAATTATTCGCTGAACGTTGCGTCATATCTCTATGTAGCGGCCTTGACAAGAAGCATGAGATATTTTCGTTTTCTTAGTTGCCAAGAAAATTGGAAGTAACAGGATTCACGCATGTAAACCATGACTTGGCCAGTGCTGGGGCCAAATTATTTCAGATTCGGTAATATTTGCTTTGGTCCAATTTTTTTTTTTTGTCGAACTTTGGTCCAATTGACTTGACACTTAATTTATCAATCAAGTTCCTCACAACATATGGACCAAGTTCTATGGGGGATAAAAACTTAGCCTGCGTTTAGTCACCGGGATTGGAATTGGGATAAGATTAAAATATGATAGGATAGAAGCGTGAGGAATTTATTTGTGTGTAATAATTTGTTTGGTACATGACCGTATAATCTAGACTAGGATCGTATAGAATAAATAAATAACGTAATCTGCTATGTATACCGAACGACCATCTTGTGGTGGTCGCAATTGCTGATGGCTTGACCTCCACCGCAGGGTTTGCCTGACCATGGCAACCACCATAGTGGTGGTCACCTCTGTCACGGTGGTTGTCTCACAAGCAGACTAGCAATGGACGACAACATGTGGTGGTTGTCCCGGTCGCAGTGTGTCACCGGTAGGTGGTCATTAGCAAGGCGACCACAGCAGTGGCCAGATTTGGCCACCGTGCTTGCAACAAAGAGCGTCACTCTTAGGCAACCACACTGTCTAGTAGTCGCTTGAGAGTTGCAAATGCGGACCACCGAGCAATGTTCGAAGGGGCCGCCGTTGGTTTGCGAGGCAGTGCTTGTATCTGCTCTCTTAAATTTAATTTTTAATTTTTTTGTAACTTTTAATCATATCCGAGGCCGTTGATGGTTGTTGTCGAGCTCGGAAGTGCACTGCGTATCGACCGTGACGTCGCGGGTGAGGCACGGCAGAGGCTACGAAAGAACATCAATGCTGCTAGGGCACGGCAGAGGCTACGTAAGAACATCAACGCTGCTAGGGCACGCAGAGGAGTGAGATGGGAAAAGAAGGGTCGTGATCTTTTTCTTGTGGTGTGTTGGATCTCCACGAGCCACGAATCCAACCATTGATAGGTGGTGACATTACCCGAGTACAGTACCCTCACGCCAACCGTAGGGCTAGAGTGGTTAAACTGCTGTCGCTTGCAATCAGAAGCTTTGCTTATGTTGAGTCTCTCATATTAGATAGGACATTGACGAGTGACAAATCATAACTCAACTACCCTACTTTGAGTCCGGAACAAGGTATATGTTAAGACACCAGATAGATGATTAAGATTCAATCCGACATGGAAAATTATCACAAGAATTGGTAGTCACTAGTCCGCTGGCAAGCAGTTCGTGACGAATACCATGGAAGTTGAGGCTTGGAAGTTTTCACAAACCACAATTATACCTACTAATCTAGGTAGAAAAGCTTGTCATGACAAACAAGACACAGAATGTCCAGGTAGAATCAATGGTCCAAGGGCTCAACTGCTGTCTTGAAGAGAAGGATGTAAACCTTATCAATTGAGAAGTACAAAAAGCCTCCAAGTGAGTGTGTGACGTAAGATCCGAAGCTAGTTCCCACAATGCAGTGCCAAGCTGGACCGTATGAACAGTCGAACTCCTGCAATACGCAAACACGGGGAGACAGAGAGAGATGTTAACTGGTTATCAAAGAGACAGAAAGCTCAATTTTTTGCCTGAAACGGACAGGAAGCAAAATTCGCATTTCTACACTGACTCCTCGAGACAGGTTCAACAAGTGGCTAAAGCTATTCTTGACATTGCAGGCTGCACAATTCCAGCTCTATTACATGATAGAGGCATACCCAGTGTCCACACATGCATGCATGCGCGCAGAGAGAGAGAGAGAGAGAGAGAGAGAGAGAGAGAGACAGAGAGACAGAGAGACAGAGAGATTAGATCATAGCAGTGGCAACGAAGACATACTTTTGATTGAATTCTTTAGTACACTTTCAACGAAGACAGTAAAACCTTTTCAGAAATCGAAGGCCTGTACATCTTTGACAGTTTTGCAAGTGCAAAATACAGTCTACTGTCATATGTTGAGCTTAATTTAAAAGACTTTCCAGCACTGCTTGATGTAGTGCTAGAGACCTAAAATTCGCAGCCAAGCCCACGCAAATGGTAAAGTACGAGGATTAAATGGTTAGAGTATTCAAAAAAGAATCTTAAGACTCCGATGGGGTATCCAATTAAACCCACTGCAAATACAACTTACCTAGGAATAATGGTCTAAGTTAGTAAATATCTTCTGCACAAAAGACTGATAAAATCAAATGAAAATCTGGACAGGGTGAAGATAGAGTCACCAAGTGGAATACATGTTAATTTAAATGTAGAATGAACTTGATGTGGCAAACGACAAAATCAACAGGCACAACATCCATCTCAATCCTCACCATAAACCATCAGAGAAGATGAAATTCCATGCTTGACAACTAACTGTTCCCTCCATTACCAGAAAGAAGCCATGTTAAGTTCATAAGGCATCATTCGATGACCTCATATTTAAGTAGATATATAGTGTGAGACAGACCAGTTATGTTGATTTAATGGACAAACAACGGTTGCTATTGCCATATATGCAGTAAAACACTAATCTAAATGGATGCCATTAACTGAGGCTTCTGCCTTAGTCAGATTTTATGTGATGGCCCAGAGTTAAATGTTACCATTTTGTGCTTTCATAACTTTTCTGCTTGACTATCTTCATTCAGCAGTTCCAATCATGAAACTAGCAGAAAGTGGGGGAATATTGAAAACCAATGCACAAGAGCAGAATTAATAACAAGATAATATCACAAAACATACAAAAGGACAATGGACGGAGGAATGATAGGAAATGAAGATAACAAAGTTACAAAAATACTGAATGATTCTTCATATATATGCAAAAAGGAAATGACATCAATAGTTTATATTTGACACCCTCGTAATTCATACAGCATGCTCTACCATTCCACCTGTAGCAAATTTTGCATTGCCATAGAAAATAACACAGAGAGACAGAATTAGAGCCAAAAGAGTCATACACATACAGGGACAAAACTATTCTTTTAGCATGCTAAACAAAAGTAATCGCATATACTAGGTCTGCACTGGTATGATAGATGTAGCTAAAGGTATTCGCGGTTTAAACAATGATGTAAGTCTGTAAAGCACTCTGACATTGCATGATGCCATTTGTTCCAGTGTCAGTTTGGTTCGTTGGTCTTCAATATGTTTCACATGGTTTCCAATAATTAACATCAGCTAAATCTCTTGAACGTATTCAGCGTTGAAAAATGGCTTAAGATGATTAGTACACTGTCCACAACATGCAATGGGGTTGGGGAGACCAACAGGCCATTAGATGTTCACCCAACAAGTGGACTCAGGATAACAATTGCAGCCATATAGTAACTCCATCCAGATGAGAAAAAAGTCTTCTTTGGATGTCATGCTTACAACAAGTCGGAAAGAATATATTCATCCTGCTAGACAAATCACTAGAACTTACAAGGATATGTGATTGAGAATGACGAACTCAACCTGAAGACCACAAATATGAAAACGATGTATACCCCCTCACTCATTTGCCAGATTAATGAAGGATTAGGACAAGTAATTACGTTGTGTTCAGGTTGTACCACAACTGCTGTGGGAAATAGATTAAATGCTCGTACTGTTGTAAAGGCTAAGTTGTAAATCATGAGGATCAGAAGCTGTATAATCTTTGCGGAATCTCGTGGCGTAGAAAAAACTATTTATTGTAAATGGGGCGTGTAGCATGATTAATCCACCCACTTCGATTTGCACATAAATGAAAGAGCTTACTGATTTATAAGAAGAAAGAATTATTGATTGAATCAAGCAGCTGAAACTAAGAAGAAAATCCATGAGACTGCCATTTTACCCTTAAAGATTGTCAAAAAGATAAACCAGTGAATTTGATTGGAAAAGGAAACCTCCCTCTCAGTAGTTTCACCTCAATTAGCTAGTAGCAGAAGAAGCTTTAAAACTTGGCCAATAACACACAATCAACACAAATCATCGACTCCTTTTCTTTGGACTATGCAGATATGGAGAAGCAAAACACCTATCGCGGGTGTTGCTTAAGACAGCCATTCTGCCGTTTTCATTTAAGTTATTGAACACACAATATTCACATCGAAACTAAACAGTCAAAGGAAGCAGATAGACAACAGCCAATGCTCACTGGAACTCTACTGAACCTGACACGAGACTAAATTGTGGGAAAATTCCGTAAGGATGAGTCCAAGTAAGCAACACAGGTGAAGTCTCCTGGACCACATTTCCAGTTGAACCGAGGCAAACAAAGCCAAGGGACCACCGACACCAAAAGTACAGAACTGGGCTTATCTCGTTCAAGTTAAGCACCTGACAAAGGTTTCATCCCGAAGCAACCAAGATGAAATATTTCAAAGCTCAAACGAAGACCGGTGAATCTCTTAAAAAAGGAGATTACCCAGAAAACGACAGGCGTTTCTGCAACCGCTCTGACAATCTAAACAACCACACAGCCGAAAACAAAGAGATCGAAAGAAGCAAGAAAAGAAAGCAAGAGCCTTTGCACCTTCTTGAGCGCGAGAGCGATGCGCTTGCTGTCGAGCTTGCCACCGCGCATGGCGTCCAGGTGATCGCGAGCGCAGCGGAAGGCCTTGTCCTGCAGGGGGGCCGGCATGTCCGCCGCCCGCACGCGGACGTTGAGCCGATCGTGCTGCTCCTGCTGCTCCACCGCCTTCTTCTTCTGTATCAGGCCGCTCAGGAACTTGCTCCTCCTCTCCAGCTCCTCCTCCGCTCCTCCCGCCATCTCGGTCCCCCTCATCCACTCCCTCTCATCACTCGGAACGCGAGCTCCCCCCCCGAGCCCCCCCGCGCCCCTCCGGTCCCCGCACGCCTTCACGCCTTCCTTCAGAATGCCACCCGCATTCGCGCAGGACGTGATGCTAGCGGCCGGTGCTCGGTGCCCTTCCGGTGTTCGATCAAATGACGGAGAGAGAGAACAGTAAAGCTAGAGAGAGAGAGAGAGACGAGAGGAAGAAAGCGGAGCACAAGACCAGAGCGAGAGAGAGAGAGAGAGAAAGCTCCGAACGGGGAGACACAGGTCTCGATAGTGCCAAAGGAAAAGTCATCAAAAGTAGGATTGTCTTGTCTGTGAGTGCTTCTGTGGCTTCTTCTTTTTTTTTTTTTGCATTTTCATTTTTTTTCCCTTTTTCCACGTATGTAAACCAATTTTCATAAATCAGTTCTTAATAAACCTTGTATTTTCCCAAATTGATAATGTTTTATCAACGAGTGCCTCAGCGGTGCTTATCGACACATGGTTATCAAATGATGTTTCTGATTTCCGCATGTAGAGTTTGTTAATTATCCATATCATTTGGAAAAAAAAAACGGTGTATTAAACAAAAAAGTTTCTGGAGACTTGTTAACAGAGTGTTTTGAGGAAAATTGGTATACGTGCGTGATGAGTCACGGAAATAATCATTTAATTGGCGAGCACGGTATTGTTTATCTGGTTACTTAACAAGTGCCTTGGACACTTTTTAACGAAATCATTTGTTCTTGTTCGGTCGCTTAAGAAATACTCCGAGAGTTTTAGTTTAAAAAGAAAATCTAGAACTTAAATTTTATCAAAGTGAGACCTTGAAACACATGTGAGGCGATGTTTTTAAAAAATTTACGATCTTTAAACACGCGAGGCTCTCAAATGAAACCATTTTACAATAATATAAGATGCTTAATAATGGATATTGTGATTTTAAAGATATTTTCACGCCACGCACGAGAAAAAGATAACGTATTAGAAGCTGGAACTTTTATTATTTAAAATGATTGGACCTAGAATTTTAGGTTTGCAGGTTGAGACAAAATTGTTAATTAAATTTTTAAGTACAATAACCTCAAAAGATTACCTAATATCGTATGAATTTTTCGTACCGCGAGAGTGGGAGCCACCGGCTACTGCCCCTAGACTCGCCACCTCTTTTTGCCCCCTAATATCGAGTGTCCAAGACTTTTGGGTGGTGCAGTTAAGTTATGACTCATTGGAACATAATTTAGCGAGCATGTGCCGTTTATTATAATGCCCAAGAGGATTGGTGGCCCCTCCTCATCTTTTTACTTATAAGAGAGAAAAAGAAGGGTGTCTCGGACTATTTAAGCAGGCGATTAATTACAATGGGACGTGGTAAGTCCTTCGCCAATGGTTATTTGGCGTCAATTTATATTGTCGTTCAGAAAATGTCTTTCAGTACTCGTTAACAAAATCATTTTATTTTTCGATAAAAAATCATTTTATCACTTTTTTTATCCTTTTTGGGGTTAAGTGTTTTCAAGCATATAGACCAGGTCGTTGGGTTAGGTGAAGACCATGGAGGAGGGGACAAAATCCAGTTTGCAGTGCGCTTTGGTTAGCGCAAAGCTGCCGACCCCAGCAACCGAAACTTGCCGAGCCCCACTCCTCCCACTAATCAATGACCAATTGGATTTTGGGATATTTTGATTAGACGGTGTGCGAATATCCCATTAATTCGAGAAATAATTACCTAAGTTAAATTTAAAGTTAATTAATTGACGGTAATCATGTATGAACATGATGGCAAATGTGAACCAACCAACCAAATGAAAGCACATTACGCCATAATTGCAACACCGCGGAGACATTGTTGTTGGATTAGCGCATGTTTAGTGAAAGCGGGAAAAGAAAAACAATGAGATGGATTAGACCCGTTTTGTTTCCATTTAAGCAAAAAAAAAAAATTGTTTTCTCCGCCAAAATTGGAAAAAAAAAATTATATAAGCTCCAAAGATTATGGAAGAAAAACTACATGTTATCGTATGTGTTAACATTCGAGTGTCGAAATAATTGATCGTTTGTTGAGTAAAATGTTTGGGTTACCATCTAGAGTGGTGGCCTAAAGACATAATGAGTCGAGTCGCTTGTCTTATGCAAATTATGAGTTCGGATTGTAGGTTTGATTGTTTGCAACTTTGTGCAGTTGTCAAGGGACAAACGGGTCACATGTCTCTGCCAAAATAGTTATGACTCGAATGAATAGACTGCAGCAGCTTTCGAGCGCTTGCTACCTTATATGGAGTACTTCTCACATTCGGCACGCCTTCGAGTTCCAAGTGAATTAAGTAGTTTCGGCTTCAAATAAAACATTGAACAACGGATGTGAGAACCTATGGTAATACCTAGAGAAGTCGGTGTCGATTGCCTCGCACGACATCTGGTTAAAAGAAGTGATAATGTTTAGTACAGTCATATCGCTTTCCAATGCTTAAAATTCAATGAAGTCGAATGGATCTATGTTATATGCTCGGAACAATTTTCATTGAGAGGGAGCTGATTATGTCACTATTCACCGTGCACATGAATGCATATTTTTACACGAGCCACCTAAAAATTGTTATAATTCGGCATACAATCATAAAGAAATAGAGAGCGAGAGCGAGAAAAAGAAATCGAGACACAAAATTTTTATTATGGTTCACTCTTAAACCAGGGCTACGTCCAGCAGATGAATCCACTATAATTAGCACATCGCACATCTCTGTTACATCCTTCAATTACAAGATAAAGAACCTATATATACTCAATAGCCACTCACGGATCCAAGCCTAAACTACTAATAAAATACGAATCTAAACTTAAAAAAGCCATCTGGCAACTTGGGAGGCTACTCCCGCGACCCCCGCTGGATGTGGCCTCCTTGGACCCCAGCTCGCTCACTAGGGAGCGCCAGCGGGACTCCTATGCATTCCTGCCGAAGGAGAGTATGAACCAAACCCCTCCCTCCAACAAAAATCCTTCTTCAGAGTTATAAACTCCACCTTCAGAACCAAAACCAACTTCAACTAAAATATAACCAAGCCCTTTAAAGCTAATCAAAACAGACGAATTAAGGAAAACGCCAAAACAACCAGAGCCAGAAACAAATAGGTGTTAAAAAAACTAAATGAGAATGAAAGGTGCATTGACCCCAAAAAACTTAGAAAAGGAAAACGCAGAGAGTGCCCGTTCCTTGCGGCGGGAAATCCTTTTCTCGGGTCGAGGAGGACAAGCACGGACGCAAAATACTAAGAAGAGAATAGAAGGATGCAATAGCAATAGCAATAGCAATAGAGGCTGCGTGGGTCCCGATGACTATTCCCCTTTTGAAACCCGGTCGGCTCCCCTGCCTTTTGTACTGCGTGCGACCGTCCGCCGTTGACCGTCAACCGGAAAGCAGGCCGCACCGTGGCGGTAGACCGCGGCGGTGGCCAAATAGAGATGACGAACAGCTGCGGTGGAAAAGAAGACACTTGATCGTCGGCGGGCGGGCGGGCCGATGGGCTAGCCGGGGGCCCGATCGGGTTCGAGTGGCTAACTGGACCGAGCGAGCTGTTCCCCCCCCTCTCGGCCCCTATCTGCCCACCTCGGCCTGCCCCGAAATCATCCGATTTTGATGTTTGTTTGATGATGAATGGGGCAAGCATGGGCAAGAATCTGCATCTAGTAACGGGCTCGCCATTTGATCATGTCCGGTGGAAAGCAGAGCAGTCTCAACATCGATGGCGGTTGTTGAGCACCGGCATTAGCGGTGATTTCTTCAGAGGCGGCGATGGCGAGCGACGACGACGGGAATAGAGCTGAGGAGAGACGGGGGCGAGCTAGCTAGTCATCGTTTGGGACGCGGTCCGGTCATAAACTCTCCATATCCATAAGTGATGGCATTAGGATGAATACAAACTATACGTCGAGAAATCTGTGACCTAATCAAGCAATTTTTTCTTTCTATTTATTGCTAAAACAAGTTTTTTATTTTATATAATTCAATTCTAACTACGAAATATCGACTCAACGAGTTAAGTGGTACAGTATCGGTATTTGCAAACATGGTATGCTAAATTAGGTGAAAGATTGCAAGTGAGAATTCAAACAAGGGATTCATATTCAACACATTAACAATATTATCCCGCATTATTTAGTATATCAGTTTTGTGAAGCGGTATAAGTAAACTCACATTCATCTTTCGCATTGTTAGAATACACTAACAATAACGATTACATAATTACAACACATAGCTTGAAGTCATTTAAAGATGCCATTTCAAACTAGCTCGAAACAATCAACGCTTCATGCCTTCCTCCACGACCGGAGCCACCGGTGGCATCGGAGCCATTGCCACCTCGTGATTTTGCCTCTCCACGCTCTCAAACCAACCTTTACATGTCACCATGTCAAATTAACCACCGAACAAGTACCTCCACGTTCAATGATGCGAATATGAATAGGGAGGAAATATATCCTAAATATGATATTACCGAGGGATGGGTTGAATCCACGGTTCTGGAGCTCGCGATACTCTTGGGTGAGGGCGCACGGCTCGCAGAGGCAGTGGAGGACGAAGTCCTCGGCCGAGCTCCCGATGATCCTGTACTGCTTCCTCATCTTTTGACGGTAGAAGCAGGAATAGCAGCACGCACACCCGGTCACCCAAGCGATGAGGAAGTAGATTGCTCCATTTATACCACAGGCTGCAAACACACGAATTATGATGAATTCGACAATATAACCGATCATCTATAATGTATAATTGTGTTTGGAATTCCCTAGTATGATCAAGTCATGCCGATCAATACATGGTGGAATGAATTATACTGTGATATCATCATTGAAATTAGAGTATTTAGATGTTAAAAAACGCTTGTTAGGGACAAACAGAGACACCAAATCAGACTCAACAGTCCAATGAACTGATACGTTTTTCATCTTTATATTGGAAAATTTGGATCTACCAAAGTTGAGAAAGGTTAGAGTAATAATGACATGAGTGGTCGGTAAATTTTTCTTGAATGTTCAATATGATCCTTAAACTTTTTTCTTGTTCAATTTGCTCCTGGACCCTTCCAAAATCCAACTCAGGTAGTCATTCCGTTGTAAATTCAAATCCATTAGCCATAACTTATGTTAACTTGCTGTTTGGCTTCTTGGAGCTTAGCCAGACTATTCGATAAAGCAAAATGGACCCCCCATATTCTTTAATCAAATATACACAAATATCCTCCTCTTTCTAAGCTTCTTCAAGATCCAACATTAACAAATTCCCTGCACTCTCTCTTCCTATCTAAACCTCGGATTTTCGCGCTTAACTTAGGGTTTCGATTCCGTCGTCGAGCGCTTAGTATCAGAGTTAGTCCCCCTACGGTGCTTATTCATGAGTCGAAATCGACTTTCGACTCGTGAACGGAAGAAAAGATAGAAACTAGGTACCATGTGCAAGGTAGCGATTTCATTCTCTCTCTATCGAGTTTAAGCCGGGGGGGTTTTGAGTTACTTACAGGAAGCTCCTCTGTCCACGATCTCCGAAATCTGGCCGAATGTGACGCAGGGACACCAGAAGCTAATGCAAACTGCACGAACCATATTTAATCAAAGCTAATTATTGACTACAGATACAAAGTACACGAAATTGCGAATTGCCTTCCAGTGTTTTAGAGTTTCACACAAATCACACCAGAGACACGGCTTCATTCATCACCCGTGCTTCAAGGAATGACATATGTGAACTTACAGCGATCGAACTGGGAGAAGCAGTCGCAGAGACCCGTGGACCAGGCCGCGTAATCCACCGACGGAGGCAGAGCGACCACCGGAATTCCAGTCGCCGGCGGCGGCGGCTCCTCTTGGGAAGAAGCAGCCTTATCAGGAGACTCTGGGTCGTTTGGTGCGCCCATCTTTCAGAGAGAGAGAGAGAGAGAGAGAGAGTTGCTTTGTTTGGATCGCCTGTTTGGAGGGTAAGCATTGTTGACATTATACAAGCATAAGGAGGAAGACTGGTTTGTCCTTTACAGAGTCAAGTGGTCCCTGCCGAATGCGTCTTCCTTGACTAATTAATTGACTTAGGGTTCATATTTGTTGAGTAGGTCACTCCCAATTGGAGAGGCCAAAGAGAGGGGGAAAGAAAATCACGAGAGATCGGGAGATAAATCAACATGATCTTCCACATCCAGAAAATCATGTGTTCCGGAAACAAATCAGTGTGATTTTCATATCGTACAATTCCAATTGGGATTGCATTTGCTCCTATAAATAGGAGTCCTCCTCAATGGAGAAAAGATGACTTATACAAAAAGCAAGAAGATCAGAGTATAGCGGAAGAAACAATCTTCTTCTTCCAAGAGAGTTATCTTCGAGAGAGTTATCCAGTTTGTGAGAGGTTTGGATCCACAAATTGAAGACAGTGAGAGATCCACCTTACGGTGAAGTTGTATCCCATTATTTATCATAGTGGAAGTTTGAAGTGGACTACGGTCCCGTGGTTTTTCCCTTCACCTTGGAGGGTTTCCACGTTAAAATTCTGGTGTTATTTACTATTTGTCTTTACCGCTTTCATCAAATATTTTATCCTATTTAATTGTCACAGAAATAGTAGTGGGAAAATTATCCGGGCCTTTTCCGCAAATATTGTTCTTTTTCCCAACAAGTGATATCAGAGCCAGGTTGCTCTATATATTATTTTTCTGTGCAGAATTAAATGGAGGAGAAGTCTGGCAACATGATAAAATTGACCGCATTCAATTATGCGATCTGGAAACCAAAGATGGAGGATCTGCTATACATTAAAGACCTTTGGAGGCCAATCGTGATACCAATGGAGGAACCAACACCAACGTCCAAGGAGGTAGATCCTGTAACGAAAGACAAATCGGCATCGTCCTCTGGTGGCAAACCAACAATCATGTCCGAAAGTGAATGGATGGTGCTCAATCGAAAGTGTGCTGCTCAAATCCGGCAATGGATCGACAAGAGTATTTTTCAAAATTTTGCTAATGAACATGATGCTGGTGTTCTTTGGCAAAAATTAGAGAAAATGTATGCAAGAACAACGGCGCAAAATAAAGCAAATCACATGCGGCGGCTCGTGAATTTGAAATACGAAGATGGGAGCAGTGTCTCGGAACACATGAGCGAGTTCCAAGGTATAGTAGACCAACTCAACTCTATGAAGATGACATTAGATGATGAGTTGCAGGCGTTGCTGCTACTTAGCTCTTTGCCGAAAAGCTGGGACACACTCGTTGTGTCAGTCAGCAACTCGGCTCCTGACGGTAAGCTTACCATGGACATGGTAAAAGATAGAATGTTGAATGAAGAATCCCGGCGAAAAGAGAGCGGAGTCAACCCGGAATCCGAGGCTCTTGTCATTAACCGACAAGAAAATCAAGAACAGAGAGGGAGAAGCAAAAGCCGAAATTTCCGAAATCAGCAGCGACGAAGGTCCCAATCCAACTTCAGACAAGACAAGAAGTGCCATCATTGTGGTAAATTGGGACACTTCATCCGAGAATTCAGAAAGCTAAAGGCATAAAAATCAAAGAGCCATAACATCAACAAAGCTGACGAGAACCATATGAATGATACCGCAAATATTGCAGACGAGATAATCATTATTCAAAGTGATGATTCCATTAATCATGCATCCCAAGATTCGACATGGGTAGTCGACTCCGGCGCATCCTACCATGTCACGGCTTGTCAAGATCTTTTTACATCTTACAGTACTGGCAACTTTGGCTTTGTAAAGATGGGAAATGACGGTACGTCCAAAATTACTGGTATGGGTAATATTTACTTGGAGACTAATGTTGGATGTACGCTTTTACTCAAAGATGTAAGACATGTTCCGGACATGCGTCTCAATCTTATATCTACCAGCAAGCTCGATGACGAAGGCTACAGCAATTTCTTTAGTAATGGGAAATGGAAGCTTACTAAAGGTAATTTGGTGGTAGCCAAAGGAGAAAAAACTTGCTCTCTCTACATCACACAATCCAAGCTGTGTAGAGGAGAGGTGAATGTAACAGGAAAAGGAGTCACCACCGAGTTATGGCATAAAAGACTCGGACACATGAGTAAGAAAGGCTCAAGATTCTCATTGGAAAGCAACTCCTACTGGGAATGAAAGGTACACTGTTAAATTCTTGTGTCGACTGCATTATGGGAAAACAACACAGAGTAGCATTTCGTAATTCCCCACCATCCAGAAAAGCTGAAATTTTAGATTTAATACATACCAATGTATGCACAATGCAAACTAGAACACTTGGAGGTGCGCTTTATTTTGTAACATTTATTGATGACCACTCTAGAAAGGTGTGGGCATTTGCCTTGAAAACTAAAGATCAAGTGCAGGAAATCTTCAAGCAATTTCATATGAAGGTTGAAAGAGAAACAGGAAGGCGATTGAAGTGTGCGCGTTCAGACAACGGTGGTGAATACCGAGGACCTTTCGAGGATTGTTGCAAAAGTTTCGGGATCAAGCTAGAAAGATCCATACCAAAAACACCTCAACACAATGGTGTTGCGGAGCGGATAAACAGAACCATCTGCGAAAAAATCAGATGCATGCTCTCCGGCGCAAAGCTGCCAAACCACTTTTGGGGTGAGGCAATGAGGACGGCAGTTGACTTAATCAACCTATCACCTTCAGCACCACTTGACGGTGACGTACCACAAAGTGTCTGGACCGGTAAAGATGCTTCTTACGGCCACTTGAAGGTGTTCAGCTGTAGAGCATTTGTTCACATTCCCAGGGATGAGAGATCAAAGCTCACGGGAAATCAAAACAATGTATTTTTTTGGGCTACGCTCATGAAGAATTCGGCTATAGACTCTGGGACCCCATTAGCCGGAAAATAGTCAGAAGTAGGGATGTGGTATTTCTTGAAGATCAGATAATCGAGGACTTCGAGAAGCACAAGAAATCTCAATCAACAGACGAATACCCTATTGATCTTGGCCCAATCGCTCCTCCTACCGATTCTAATAATGAGCAAGCTGAATCTAGCATTAAAGGTATGACTACTTCAACTGAACTTGAACCAATTATTGAACAGGTCCCGTCAGAACCTCAATTGAGGAGATCAACCCGTGAACGACAATCTAGTCGTAGATATTCTCCCAACGAGTACATGATGCTCACTGATGGGGGAGAACCAGAGAACTACCAAGAAGCTGTGTTCCACGAGCACAAAGAGAAGTGGTTAAAAGCTATGCAAGAGGAGATGAAATCCTTAGACGAAAATCATACTTATGATTTAGTCAAATTGCCACAAGGAAGAAAAGCTCTCAAAAACAAGTGGGTGTTCAAACTAAAGACTGAAGAAGGTAACTCACAACCACGATACAAAGCAAGGTTGGTTGTGAAGGGATTCGCTCAGAAGAAAGATATCAACTTCGACGAGATATTTTCACCTGTGGTTAAAATGTCTTTATCCGAGTTGTTCTTGGCTTGGCAACAAGCTTGAACTTGGAGGTCGAGCAACTTGACGTGAAGACTGCATTTTTACATGGAGATCTAAACGAGGAGATCTACATGGATCAGCCGGAAGGCTTCAAAATCAAAGGCAAAGAAAATCTTGTGTGTAGACTGAGGAAGAGTCTTTACGAGCTCAAGCAGGCACCAAGACAGTGGTATAGAAAGTTCGATTCATTCATGGAAGAAAATAGGTTCAACAAAACCATCGCTGATCACTGCGTGTTCGTCAAGAAATTTACCGATGGTAATTTCCTAATTCTTTTGCTTTACGTTGATGACATGCTAATTGTTGGCCAGGATAAAAGCAAGATCAACAACTTAAAGAAGGAATTAAGCAAGTCCTTTGTGATGAAGGATTTAGGACCTGCAAAACAAATTCTTGGGATGGAAATCTTCCAAGACAGGTAGAACCGTAAACTCTGGTTATCTCAAGAACGGTATGTTAATAAAGTTCTTGAAAGATTTAACATGAATAAATCCAAAGCAGTTTGTTCTCCACTTGCAAACCACTTCAAGCTCAGTTTGGAGCAGTGCCCGAAAAGTGAGACAGAAAGGAAGGAAATGGAAAAGGTTCCTTATGCATCGGCGGTTGGCAGCCTAATGTACGCGATGGTATGCACGAGGCCTGATATCGCCTATGCAGTTGGTATGGTAAGCGGGTTCCTATCCAATCCCGATAAGGAACATTGGGCAGCAGTCAAATGGATATTCAGGTATCTTCGAGGTACTTCTAATAACTGTATATGCTTTGGTAATGATAAAACCGTGTTAGAAGGTTTTTCGGATGCAGACATGGCAGGGGATGTGGACTCAAGAAAGTCTACATCAGGGTACCTAATGACTTTTGCAGGGGGAGCAGTCTCATGGCAATCTCGACTACAAAAATGTGTTGCCCTGTCTACTGCCGAAGCAGAGTATGTTGCGATAACGGAAGCATGTAAAGAACTCTTGTGGATGAAGAAGTTCCTACAAGAAGTGGGCCATAACCAAGAGAAGTATATCTTGTACTCGGATAGTCAAAGCGCAATACACCTCAACAAAAATGCAACTTTCCACTCCAGGTCCAAACACATTGATATCAGATATCATTGGATACGTGATGTGTTGGAAGAAAAAGCCTTGCAGTTAAAGAAAATACACACTGACAACAACGGCTAAGATATGATGACAAAATCCCTATCTATAGTGAAGATGCAAGCTTGTCGAACTTTTGCAGGTTTGACACCCTCTCCGAATTGTTCGTGAGGGGGAGATTTGTTGAGTAGGTCACTCCCAATTGGAGAGGCCAAAGAGAGGGGGAAAGAAAATCAAGAGAGATCGGGAGATAAATCAACAATTTGTTTAAGTATTTGCTTCTATGCGATGAATGCCAATTGAGTCATCCTCAACTAAAGTCTTATCCGAGCACTGACGCTAGCAATAGCTTCTCAAATTACAACAGAGTATAGCAATTTTTGAAAAGCGGTCTCACCCAATCTTGAGTTGCCACAGCTTTAAAATACATATTACCAAACATAAAGACTCTACAACGACAATTTTACCAAACGGGCTTTCAATAAAATGTAATTATAGATGATGTCCATATACACAATCTACCGTAGGTGATATTTTCCGTTACTCTCGATTGGAGGGTTATGACTTACTGAATTTCACGAGAGATCAATGATGAATCTCACTAAAACATAGGTTCGGTTCAACGCACGAAAAACCTACTGTATGGAGCATGAGTTAGTCTCCGATCGTTAGCCTGATGAAAACTGGACAACACCCTCTTTCCCAGATTTTTTGCTTTCTCTTTCTTTCTTGCTATTGCCTCACATTACTCTTCTTTGCCGCTACCACATAAATAAGAGAGAATCCTTACTTATTTCGGCCAAATATGGCCTCCCATTAATTTCTCCGTATGTGCTAAAGCCTATGAGCTTCATTTCGTTGGGCTTCATCCACAACGGAGTAAACCCAGCCCAACAAATAGGTATGTGCTACGAGCCTATGATTAGCCTGATGTGATAAACAAATTATCTAAATAGCAGACCAAACGAATGGCCCAATTCCACATCACACCCCCAAAATTGAACCTTTTCTAATAACGATCTTATGATTATAAAGATTTGAAGGGCTATCAGTATCTGGTTTGCAATTATAATTTTCAATCAGTTTCTTTGAAGAACTCAAACCCGTGGATACTTTTCCTTCGAATGCGCACAACCTGAACGTGGAAGAAATATGACGTATCACATATCTTTGAAAGGTTAAGGACCAAATTGCTTGGATTTATTCCCTTTTATTTTTAGAAAACTTCACTTAATTCATTAGTCAAAACCACATCACCAACCACAACTAATTTATTCATCTTACATAGGCAGATGGGGACTTTCAACCGAGTCTACGGCGATATCATTATATATCTTGGAACCTTAGTACGTGCAAGGTTCAACTCTATGCTAGTGAGGATTCATTTAAGAGACACCGTTCTCGGCATTCTAGTTTTAGCTTAGATAAGATCGGTAATGGAGATGAGTCGAGCAGATGCAGTGCCAAGCTCAAGCTCAACTCGATCCGCACACCATTACTTGTGTTTTTTTGTAAAATTATGGTTGCCGGTTTTCAATGATTAAAGCCCAATGGACGATGATTGATGGCCAATTAAAATATCAAATCTAACTTTAAATAAAAAAAAATAGATGGGTTATGATATGCCTTGAAATCTCAAGGACTTTGTAACTTCGAACTACTAGAATAATATGCAGATAATGATGGCTAATAAATAAGGAAACTTTTATTGGATTAGAACAAATGGCTTATGTTCTTGGATGCCGTGCTTACTCGACGAGTGAATTTGGACATAAACTTTTTAAAGAAAATCAATTTAGTGGGTACGGAAAGTGAAAAGCTTACAAGACACGATCGGCAAGCTTTTATAACCAGAAACAATTACTCAGAATTAGAAAACCTAATCTAATTAGAATTTGAAATTCAAACTTAGACCGAGTCAAATCCAAAGCAGTCTACTACAAATGGTTTTCTCATCTTCAAAGTCCAATGGGATGTTCATGATTTCTGATGTCTCTTGATGTTGCGTGATTCTTGCTCATTGCGTGTTGTATATGTCGAATTTGGTGTGCTTTGAACTTTGATTCCTTCTGTATCTTTATAAGCCATTCCGTTATGCATTCTGACATTTCTCCACAAAAATTTCGGACCACCTATTGACTTCCACATTACTCTAGGGATCATTTGTAATTGCTCCCCACCCTTTAGCTATAGTTATCCATTAGTGGATGAATCCTTTCTTGACTCAATCTTTAACTTCCTTTCATGTTTTGAGCTAATCGATCATTGCTGCGTAGCATAATCTTCACTTCAATGTCCATTGGAAACTCATGATCGATGAGCTCGTCAAACATTCTATTGATGGGCTGTGTGAACCAATTGTATTGTTAAGACCTTGTGATTGACGAGCTTGTTTTACACAGTCTATCAAGTAGATACTATGAGTTAAATGTACTGTTATGACCTGATTTGAGCCACTAGCTTCTTTATGTTTTGGTCCTTGTGTCACTACAAACGCTTGGTGCTCGAGCTCAAACATGCATTAACTTTCTCGCTTGAGCTCTACTCCACTGGAAAACCAAAATACTCAAGTTCGATTCGAATCAATTGCAATCAATTTCTAAAGACTTGAGCTATGGTTTAATGTTCGCAATTAAGCGCATGAGCTTGTCGAGTTGAGGTTTGGTGAGTTCGAGCTGTACTTGACAAGATGCTCGATTCGAAAGTAGGTGAACCGATCTCGTGTAATTATCGAGCTCAGTTTTGTCCCGAATCATAGAGAACCCTTTGTCTTTTGGACATTTGGAGTATTACATCTTATGATTGTAAGGCACGCATTCGACTCTCATCCTTATCTAGATTAATGTAAGATTTGACTTTTATTCCCCTCGTCTGTCAAAAAATGAAAAGAAAATTATCTTAATTTTAACAACAACAGTGGAAACTTTATCCAGAAAATGGATCAAAACCCTTGCAAGCTATTTTATTTTACTATGAATCGAATTTCTTTTTTCCATCATTTCTATTCACAAGTACATTTGTGTACTCATTTTCTAGTTATATATAGTATACTAAACTATAGAAGGATCGAATCTTTCATGATGGGGTGTATTGACATCTTTAGTCCCCGAAAAATGGATGACACGTAGGGCGCATTTGTTTCGTAAAAAATAACTGATTAAGAAAATATTTTCCTAAGAGTGGATCGCTCGTATCGCTTATAAAAATGAATAAAAGAAAAATATTTTTGTTGTCCACAAAAATGTTTAGACGTAATTTTTTAATCGAAAATGAAAAAAATTTATCGATAAGTTATTTCAAGTGATACAAGCGATCATTTTTAGGAAAATATTTCTCAGATAATTCATTTTTTGTGAACAAACAAAGCCGTAATCTGAAATGACATTAATTGCTAACATTTGTTTCCCACTTTTTTTGCTTTTTTTTAGATTACGTTTGTTTCCCGAAAAAGGAATGATTTGGAAAAATTTTCCTAAAAATGATAGCTTGTATCACTTACAAAAATGAATCAATGAAAAATATAATAATTGTCCACGAAAATATTTAGATAAAAATTATTGTCGGTACGTTCTTCATTGAATAATTATTTCAAGCATACAAACGATTAGTTTTAGAAAATGTTTTTCAAATCGTTCATTTTCTACAAAAACAAACCAAGCCTATCACTTGTTTTTTTCCTTTTGTTTTCGTAATTTTTACGGGCACTATTTCCACACCCTAGGTTGCTTAAGGCGCAGCCTTTTTATGGACATAGACAAAATTATCCGTAAACTTGAATTATTATAAGCAATAAATCGGTGGTCCCACCATAAAATATTTCCTAACTCTGATTTTCCATTTCTTTGCATTCTATTTTCTGGTTAATATTCCTTAAACTTTTAAGGAGTCTAGATTACTTTTCATCTCCAATGAAATTGAACTTTTTTGTTCACGGGTATTGAAAATTTTTAAAATGATCCGAGTCTAGGAAAAGCATTTTAGTTTTCAGATAGAGCAAATCCAGGGTACTTATTCTAGTATGCAAAAATGATATACTAAATGACGTGGAAGATTCCGAACGATAATATAATCGTATGATTGACATTCAACACCTAACAATCATATCACACATGACTTATTTCATCAATTTTGTGAAGCAGTATAAGTAAACTCACATCAGCCTTTCGCATTATTAGGATACACTAACAATAACGATTACGTAGTTACGACACACAGCTTGAAGTCATTCAAAGATGCCGTTTCAGACGAGCTCGAAACAATCAACGCTTCATGCAGTCCTCCACGATCGGAGCCACCGGTGGCGTTGGAGCCATTGCCACCCCGTGATTTTGCCTCTCCACGCTCTCAACCCAACCTATACATGTTACCATGTCAAATTAGCCGCTGAACGGGTATCTCAAAGTTCAATGACACAGATATGAATCGAAAGGAAATATGTCCTCAATATAATACTACCGAGGGACGGGTTGAATCCGCGGTTCTGGAGCTCGCGATACTCTTGGGTGAGAGCGCACGCCTCGCAGCAGCAATGGACGGCAAAGTCCTCGACGGCGCTCCCGACGATCCTGTATTGCTTCCTCATCTTTAGACGGTAGACGAAGGCATAGCAGCGTGCACACTTGAGGAAGTAGATTGCGCCATTTATAAAACAAGCTGCAAACATATGAATCATAGGCAGTAGATTGCGCCATTTAGAAATTGCCTAGTATCATTAAGTTATGCCGATCGATACACGAAGGAATGAATCATACAGTGATATCATCCGTCAAATTAGAGAGTGTTTGCATGTTAAGCAACACTTGCTCGGGGACAAAGAGAGTCACTAAATCAGACTCGACTGCGTAACGAACCAGACTCGTTTCATCTTCATATTGGAGAATCTGAATCTACCAAAGTTGACAAAAGTCAGAAGTGATATTGACACGGGCGATCCATGAACTTTTTTGTTAATGTTCAATGTGCTCTTGAACTCTTTTTCCTTGTCCAATCTATATATACAATTTTAACAAATCCAACCAACGTAGTCCTTCTGTTAAAAATTCTAACATCGTCAACTAGCATGATCACAATTTATGTTTTACTTGACGTTTGATATGCCATACTAGCATTTCTCGTGGCTTATATATCGTTTCAACAACATATCTCTCTCGCACTCATTATGTTGGCCAAAAAGGAAACAAAGAAAAGGGCTTGTTTACTTGGGAAAACAACGAGAAAGTCCATTGCATATTTCATGTATCATTTTAAGCGATGAATATAAATTTTTTTTCTATAAAAAAAATCCGTTAGTTCAACACGATCATGGTCATCAATTGGCCGCGTTCAATGGAGTTACTTGCAAGAAACAAAAGTAGTAAATAACTTAATGGTCCTGTCGACACGTGTTTGGATAAGCCCGACTCAAGTGCTCCTACAATTTGATAATGCAAAACGGCTCCGTTTGTTTTGTGAAGAATAAATGATTTGAAAAATATTTTCCTAAAAATGATCGTTTGTATCGCTTGAAATAATAAGTTAATGAAAAATATTTTCATTATCGATAATAGTTTATGTCTAAACATTTTTATGGACGATGAAAATATTTATCGTCAAGATCCAAATTATTTATTTTCCGTAAGAATTGGTTGTAAGAGGCATCAGAGATCATTTTAAGAAAAATATTCTCCAAATTATTTATTTTCCGTGAAATAAATGGAGACTTCTTCAAGATCCAATTTTACCAAATTCCCTGCACTCTCTCTTCCCACTTGGGTTGACGCAAACCTTGGATTTTCATGCATGACTTAGGATTTTGGTGGTCACAAAATTAGGTACCATATGATAAAATAACAATTTCTCTATCTCTCCATTAAGTTTAAGCTGCATTTTTAAGTTACTTACGGGAAGTTCCTCTGTCGACGATCTCCGAAATCTGGCCGAACGTGACGCAGGGACACCAGAAGCTAATGCAAACTGCACAAGCCATCATCATCGATTAATTAATCAATTACAAACACGACATACGCGAAATTGCAAATTACATTTTCTGAGTTTCACACAAATCCCACTAGACACGGCTTCACTCATCACCCGTGCTTCAAGGAGTGACATCTATGAACTTACAGCGTTCGAAGTCGGAGAAGCAGTCCCACAGGCCGGTGGACCAGGGGCCATAGTCGAACTGCGGAGGCGGAGGAGCCACCGGAAGTCCAGTCGCCGCCGCCGCCGCCGCCGGCTGCGAAGGCTCTTGGGAAGGATCAGCCTCGTGACGAGCCTCTGGGTCGTCTGGTGCACCCATCCTTTTGAGAGAAAGAGAGTTGCTTTGGTTCGAAATTGCGTTTGGCGGATATGCATGGCTCATGTTATATAAGCATATAATGAGTGAGGCTGGTTTCTCCTTTACACAATCTGCGTGAGTTCCTACCACTTGCGTATTCCTCGCTTGATTGACTGGGTTCATTGGTTATAATATTTGGATTTATGTGATGAATGCTAGTCGAGTCTTCCTCGATTCAAGTATTTTGCAAACACCCGACCCAACTAACACCTCTCGAATTACAACAGCTGATAGCAGCTTTCGAAAATCCGTTTCACCCAATTTTGAGTTGCTGCGGTTTTAAAACATATATTGCCCAACATAAAACATACTTTACAATATAACAACGGCTATACCAAACGGGCTCTAAATTTGATGTAGAAATCTACTAGAGGTTATACCTTCCCTTGTTCTTGAGTCTTGACTGAAGGGTCATGTCTCTTATCGGTGACTTATTAGTTATGGTCATCGTTCACATGTAAACTTAACGAATGATCATTTGCTTGCTTGTGAATATCAGATACCAACAGAATAATAATTGGTAGATGAGACAATCAATCGGATATTGTGGATAAATTATTTTGACTTTGACTTCATTTGCGTGTTAGTACCTAGATAGCAGGACAAATCGAAGGGCCCAAATCCACATCAAAACCGTAAGATCAGTTGAACTTTTCCCATCGACGGCCATATAACAATAAAAATTTGTAGGGTTGTCATTATCTTGTTTTCAATTGTAATTTTTCGGTCAGATTCTTGAAGAGTTCAAACACCGGGATGCTTACCCGTAGAATGCGCGCAAATGTGGGGAGGTTCATGACCTAATCGCTTAGGTTGAATCTCTTTCATTTTTGAAGGACGTCATCTTAATTCATTCGTCAAAACCAGATGTCCATCCAACCACAACTAGTTTATTCAACTTGAAATTTCATGGGAAACTACCATTAGTTAATTATATATAGGGGGAATGTTCAAGCGAGTCTAAGGCTATTATTGTTAATACTAGATGCAATGCTCAACTCTATCATTTTCGAGACGCCTTTCTTGGCCTTGTAGTGGCTAAGCAACTCCATCACCGATATGGTTTGCAATCGAGACAAGTCGAGAAGATAATGTGCCATGCTGGAGATCTATTGGACTCGCATACTTGATAGTCGATCTCGAATGACTAATAACTTCCTCACTCAAGCTCTGTTCAACAAGAAAAAAATCAAGATAACCCGAGCTTGACTCAAATCAACTGCAACCGACTTATAAAAACTCAAACTCGAGTTCAATGTTCTTGAGCACTATGTGATTTTAAGGATTTTACGTGCGTCATTACAACTCTTACGTATAAAAATATATATAATGGTCGCTCGATTAGGCTCGCAAGCTTGTCGAGTTGAGTTTTGATGAGTTCGAGCTACACTCGAAAGATGCTCGAGCAGTTCAAACTCGATCTCAAATAAGGTGAACTAATCTTGAGTAATGATCGAGCCGAACTCAAGTCAGCCCGACTCTGTTCCGTCCCGATTCATAAAGAATACAAGTGCCCATATTGCACATGTTTCGTCAATCTGAGTGCCACACTTAGGGTGCGCATGACAACCATTCTATGCCCGGGAACTATTTCTGAACAGAAATGATTTTTTTTTATTCTGTGCCCGGAAACAATTTCTGTACATTTGAAGGCGTTTGGTAAACTATCCAAAATTTCTATTCCTGGAATAGAAAAGAACATAAATGCGTTTGGTAACTACACACAAATTTCTTTTTATTAATAATATTTTGAATTGTTTATTTTTTTTTTCTTTCTACCTAGGCCATGGCCGGTCGCCGTGACAGCCACGGCCCGAGGCGGCGAGGGCGTCATGGCCCTCGCCGGCCGGCAGGCGGAGGCGAGGGTCCCCCTGCCGGCGAGGGCGAGAGGCTGGACCCTCACCGCCCGGGTGAGGCGGCTCGCCGTCGGTCATGGCGAGGTCGGCCTCGCCCGGATCGGGCAAGGCCGAGCCTCGCCCTCGCGACCCACGGCGAAGCCGACCTCGCCGTGGGTCGCGACGGCGAGGCTCGGCCTCGCCGAGATGCGGCGAGGCCGTCGCGACCCACGGCGAGGCCGAGCCTCGCCGTGGGTCGCGACGGCGAGGTCGGCCTCGCCTAGATCCGGCGAGGCCGAGCCTCGCCGTGGGTCGCGACGGCGAGGTCGGCCTCGCCCGGATCGGCGAGGCCGAGCCTCGCCGTCGAGACCCAGCTGCGAGGTCGGCCGCCGTGGGTCGCGACGGCGAGGCTTGGCCTCGCCAAATCTGGGCAAGGCCGACCTCGCCATGACCGACGGCGAGCCACCTCGCCCGGGCGGCGAGGGTCCAGCCCTCGCCCTCGCCGGCAGGGGGGACCCTCGCCTCCTCCAGCGGTGAGGGCCGTGACGCCCTGGCCGGCCCTGGGCTGTGGCTGGTCGCCGGCCGCCGGTCGCTGGTCGCCGGCGACCGGCCACAACCTAAGAAGAGCAACACAAAAAGAAGAAAAGAAAAAAAAGAAAAAGAAGAAAAAAAACTGATTCTCAAAATTGTGCCGAGAAATAAGAAGCAACTTTTTTTTACTTCTTGTTTCTCTTCCAAAACTGTTTCTCGGCACAAATATTTGCAAAAATGTGCCCGGGAACAAAAAGTTTACCAAACGCATTTCTGTTCCCAAACTATTTCTGGGAACAAAAGAACATAAATTTTCACTGTTTGGCACGTTACCAAACGGGCCCTTAACCTAATCCAGTGGAATATCATGCTTAGTCAATTGAAATCAATGTGAACGGCTATTATAGAAATTTTGGTGTGTTACATTTCATTCAACTCTCATCCTTATCTAAATTAATATGCAGTTTGACTTTTATTGTGACACTATATGGTATGATTTTACTAGTATGTAAAAAAATGAAAAAAAAAAAGCTTATCTTTCTTTTCACGACTACAATTGAAACTATATTACTAAAATGGATAAAAAATATCTCTACATACTATTGTGTATCGATTGAATTTTTTGCATTATTCCTCTTCACGAGTATCATGTGTACTCTTTAACCATAGTTATCCCTTGGGCGATGGATCCTAGATGACCCGGCCTTCGATTTATTTTTTCATGTTTCGAGTCGATCAATTATCGCTACATGTCACGATCTTCACGTAAACATTACCCGTTGAAAACTCATGATCGATGAGCTTGTCACACATTCCATCGATTGGCTTTATTGGCCAATCGTATTGTTATGACCTTTATGATCAATGAGCTTGTCACACATTCCATCAATCGGTTTTATTGCCAATCGTATTGTTACGACCTTTATGATCGACGAGCTTGTTCAGATACTCCATTGAGGGGACATTATGGGTTGCGTGTGTTGTTATGATTTGATTTGGGTCGTTAGCTTCTTTATGTTTGTGCCCCGACTTTGGACCTGAAGTCAACACATACGCTTGGTGCTCAAGCTTGAATCACTTAGTACTTCCTTGCTCGAGCTCGACTCAAATAAAAAAATCAACATGTTCGAGCTCGACTCCAATCAATTACAATCAATTAAAAAACTCAAGCTCAAGTTTAATGTTCTCGGAAACTATGAAATTTTGAGGATTTTGCATATGTTTTTACAATTACTAGATGTAGAAAAAATAACAGTAGCTTAATTGGGCAGGCAAGCTTGTTGAGTTGAGTTTTGATGAGTTCAAGTTGCACTTGACAAGATGCTCGAATAGTTGTAACCCGATTTGAAATTAGAGAAACCGGCCTCAAGTAATTTTCAACCCGAGCTCGAGTTACTTATCAGCTCGAGTCAGTTTCGTCCCGAATTATAGAGAAGACCGAGTGCCGATACATATGATTCCTCAAACACGTTGGTCCCGCCAGCCTTGATAAGCAAAAAGCCTATCAACAACGGCGACTGAACATTGGTGAATGAACAACCTGCTCCTTCCGATAGAAAAATCATCACTAAAATCTCCAATTGATGTTTCCCTTAGGCATATGTGTATGCGTTAAACTTGCAGATTAATCCACGATGATGACACAATCTGAGTGCCACAGTTAACCTAACCCCGCTGGATATCGTATTTAATCAATTAAAATTAAAGTACACGGCTAATCAAAAGCATGCAGTCAGTCCTTTGTCTATTGAACTTGTTGGGAAAACTCAATCCCTGATCGACACATTCGAAACATATTCGAATCGAATTCGATCAATGCGGAAAACGTGTCCAGTGACCATCAACTTGTATCACCGATCGTACAGGTATATCACACAACGAACATACCCGGTATTGTCACAGATTAAGTGTCACTTTGCGCTTGAGAGTTCTTCGATCGTCTTTCGTACTCGTTTGTGTTCTGAAGGAAAAACAGAGAAAGCGTTATGTTCAAAGGAGTGTGTTTGCATATGGAAAAACACGTTAGTTTTTTCAAGGGGTGTCTACTATTTATAGTGATAGACAAATAACTACCTTGTGGGTCTTTGTGGATCACGGGCCGGGTTTGGCCCATCTTGGGCGGTCCACCCATTATGTCTTTCAAAACTTTTGGAGTATACCTCTTGTGATTATATGGTGCTCATCTAACTCTCACCCAGTCCTTATCTGGATCAATGTAAGGTTTGATTTTTTTTTGGACAATATATGCTATGATTTTTTTTTTACAATACAAATCAAATTCAGGAACAACATTGAACATTCTTATACAGTCAAGGGACTGATACGTATCAAAAGTTTATGGATCATATCAAATAAATTAAAAGTTCAAGAACGACATTATCTATTATATTAAAGTTCATGGACTACATCGAACAAATTTAAAGTTCATGAACCACATTACATATTGGGCCAAAATTCATTGACCATTTTGTGTCATTTACCCTTCTATTTACAACGACGACTGAAATTATATTCGTAAAGTGGATCAAAATCTTCATATGCTAAGTTATTTTTTGTTAATTGAATTTCTTTTTTATAATTTCTCTTCACAAGAACCATGTGTACTCCTTTTCTAGTTATACGTAATTAACCAAATCATAGAAGTGTGGAATCTTTCAT